AACTCTCTGTCCTGACCTGTCCGTCTTGGGTGGCCCTGCATGGTATAGCTCATGGCTTCACTGAGTTATGCAAGCCCCTTTGCTACGACAAGGCAGTGATCCATGAAGGGGCACAATCCTTTAGTCTCCCCAAATGAAAATCAAGAAATCACATCATGATCACAAGCTCTCTCAGGGGACTGACAACGAGGAGTAAATCATTTTGCATTATCCCAAAATTTCAGATCGCTTTATATTCAAGAGAAAAGCGCTGGAGAGAATTCTTCTTGGAATTACAGAGAAAATGGAGGTCCCAGGAGTTCAGCTGCCGTTTGACCATTTCTAGGACTTTTCAACCAAACACTTAAGGAAATAGTGCCCCACATAAAACCCCATCTGGAAACTGCTTATCATTGCCTACCCTTCTGTCATGGCCAGTTTGTTCTGGGTGACAATATTACCTCGTGGTGTGAAAGATAAGGAGTAGCAAGATGAGATGAATTGTTCAGGACATGCTTGTATTACAAGAGGGAAAGAGGTTCTGGGAAGAAATGGTTGACCTCCAGGAGATTTAAGGACCTCTAGTGAAGAACCAAAGCTGTTCTTTCATTTCCTCATGGGATATACGCTTGAAGGGTTTACCGTACCAGATTTGTGGGATGGGGAGTAGTATTATTTTTCCTAAATCATGCAGAATCCAGAAACAAATGAGCTCAAGAGTCATCTTGTAAGTCATCTAATGCAGAAGAGATCAATGCCATCTTGGACAGGCTGACTCAAGGCTGCACTGTTCTTCACACATCCCAGCTTTGTTCATAGAAAGTATGGTAGGCAGCCCTTTTAATTTGTTAAATGATTTTCCATCATCGCTTTGTTTCCTGTTACTTTACATAGCACAGTAATTCTTTCTGTCTCTTATTTATCTCCTATCATAGTTTCTTTGCATGAATGTAGTTTTCTCTAGCATGAGACTTACTTTAAGCAGTATGTATATGTGTATGTATGTATATGTATGTATGTGTATATATATATATACACACACACACACACACAGAGTGTGTGTGTGTGTGTGTCACTTGTGGCAGACAGATATCTTCCACTGTGTTTTAGGATATTGGCTGTGATCTGACCATGACAAGGGGAACACTAACAACTCCCCCAATTGCAGATCACATAGCCAGTGCTCCGATAGGAACACCAGATCTGGTGTCTGACCGCTGTCCTTTGTCAGGCTCTGGATGACCTGGGATAGGCCCATGCCCCTAATGGTAGCCATGAACTCCTGAGCTACCTCAGATCCCACTCCCAGGGAAGGCAGATGAAAATCCCCCAAGACCAGAAGTCTAGGGAACTTGATGGCCAACCTGGAGATGGAATCAAGAAGCTCAGGCAGGGAGGTAGCCATGCAGCAGGGGGGCTGGTACAATAGCAACAGTCCCAACTGATCCCTAGAGTCCAACTTAATGAACAGGGTGTCACGTCCAGTGACCTATGGGGCAGCACCCCTGAAAGCTGTAAGTGATTCTTGGATGACAATCGCCATAGCATCAACCCTGCCCTGGGTTCTTGGCTGGTGCCGCATTCGAAACACAGCTGGGCACATCCTTGAGAAGGGCACTCCTCCTTCTGGGCCCAGCCAGATTTCGATAATATATGCCAGTTCAGTCCTTTCACCCATGATAAAATCGCAGATGACGGAGGCCTTATTACTTATTGATCTGGCATTTATGAGCAACAGCCAGAAGCCAGGGCCTCTGAAAGTCTGCTGACCAGGTATAGGGGTTGTGTCAGGCCTAGCCCAAGGAACTCCAAGAGACCTTGTAAATTCAGTCCAGCAATGTTTATTAGCTACAACCTCTAGCAAGAATCTTCCCAGCTGAAACCCCAGTTCCGAAGTAATGCCAGCCACAACATTGTGAATTCCTCAGGGAGGTGCCAGTCTCATCCTCTTATCTCTCCCTCTCACCTCAGGCGATGAAAGAACATGTTTTTCTCCCTGAGTCCGGCCTTCACAATTCCATTCCATCACAGGTTGAGACCAAAGACCTGGAACATGGAACATGTATAAAACATTGGTCCCATGATCCCCAGCGCCTGCCCGTTCTTCGTCTCAAACCTTATCTCCTGATGTCCATCACCACCATCATATTATGACCTGTGCAGATCTCCCCAGTGGCCACATCGTCTTTTCCTCCAGGGCCCCCAATTCCAAAGGGCTGGGAGCTCCCACCATAATCAATTACATCCATCCCCCAGGAAGGGGAAACCAAGCATCCTTAGGTACTTCAGCTCTGCTAGCTCAAAGCACCTTCAGGTACCTGACACCCACCTCCGCCCATTCAGGAATCAAGTGCACACACACACATACACAGAAACACCGTACCTAACACTGAACCCCCCCCAGCTGCTCTCACTCTCTTCTAACAGTTTCCTTCTCATCCACCCCACCAAGTCAACTCCCTTCTCTGGCTCTCACCCTGAGAGGAGAAACACACAGACAAAGCACTTGGCTGTCAGACAGATTCAGGAGAAAGATCCTCCTCTCCCTCTCTTTGGAGCTGACAGAGAAAAAGGCTCTGTGGGGGGTGGGGGGAAGGTCCACAGCAGACTGCCATTCCACTACTATCCCCCCACCCAGCCACCGCCAACTCTCTAGAGCCCCAAAGTCTTGGTTTGCCTCTCCGGGTGAAAAGTCCCATGGAATCATAGAGTCCAGACAAATTCATTGACCCTGGGCATGGCCCGATCTCCACCCTGTACCAACAATCAGTCTGCTGGCTTTCCCTCCGGCTCTTTCTCCTGCCAGCTCCAGCCAGCTCCATCTGCCACAAAAATGCCCAAATATACTTAAGGAACAATCCCAGCCTCCAAGCTTCATAGCACATCCTGAAAGCACAGCATTGCCTACCCCAGTTGACTCGCTCAAATCTCCCAGCAGCACAAGCATCGGTGTGGGCGAGGGCATGGCAACACAGCAACACACGGCCCCAAAGAGCTAACAAAATCAACAGGCTGAAGGCCTATCTAAGGTCAAGTCCAGTCCAGTGTCGGGTCCAGGCCAAGTAAGTGCCAAAATGTTAATAATCCAAACCAACTCCGAGGGGACAGTCGAGTGACTCCTACCTTCCTCCATCTTACTGGAACTGTAATATCTTCTATTGGTTACACAAATAATAACTTCATATATTTTCTGATCACCCACACAATAAGACACCTATGAAGGACAGCAAGGGTAAAACACACTAGTTCACATTAGAGACAAAGGGGGAGAGCATATGACAGTTCACTCACTACTGATAAGCTACCATGGTTTGTTAAACCCAACAAAGCTGATCTGATACAGGCTACACAACCAAGAATTATTTCCAAAGAACAAGGACTGTATCTTTGCAAGTCAAAAAGTAAAACCAAGAAATCACTTTATGACCAAATATTTTATCCAAAAAGATTAAATAGGTCACCTTGTGGTCTCCTAAAAATTCAGTTAGCTTTTTGGTCAAGAAAGGAGGACTATAGTGACCTCAGCCTTCCTTTTGTGGAGAGAACAGGAGCTTCTTGAGGAGCGGAACTGACATGGGAACATCTCTATGGATTTTCAGGCCACCAACCAAGAGAATCATCAGCCTGAGAATTGAAACCCCATCAGGAAATCCTGGTTTCATTTTCATGCCCCTCCCCCCATGGCTAATGGGGGGTCTGTGGGACAAGACTGCCCCCTGGTGTGCAATATGAGCTGAAGCAGGCCTGGTTCTCTAGGGAGATGCTTGTATTGCAGGAGAGGAAGTCAGTCAGGGAAGATGTGACTCAGCTCCAGAAGATCAGAGCAGGTGTAGTGAGAAAGCAAAGATACTCATTGATTTCCTCATCCGAAATAGTCTTGGAAAGGTGACTGGTCTGGAGGTTTTGGAGAGAGGGAAATTCTTATTTTTATGTTTTCGAATGGAATCATCAGGCCGTATACTCCAAAAGAGAAGAGGACTTATTTAGGAGAATTCGGCAACGCTCTCCTCTCCCACACACCCCTTTAGCCTCATCTTTCCCTCAAACAACATATTTACTTTTCAAGGCCAATGGGTCCTGCTCACCACCTGAAAGGTACCCTCGGAGAATTCTCCTATATTATCAGTGAAATGCACAAATCCAAAAGTGTGGATGAATCAAGCTGGAAACAGCTCTGAACAAAGGAGGTTTTGTGTGTGGTTTTCAGATTCACTCCTTCTCCTCTAGTTCTTCTGACAGGAAATATTTTCAGCAGGTAAGAAAATGTTTGACATTCATTCCTGCCCTCTGCCTTCCAGTTCTGTCTTATGTGTTTGTGTGTTCTTTTCAGGAGAGGAACATTTTCTGATTTTTTTTTTTTTTTTTGCATGATTCTTCAGAATTTCAATGTGGCAGTTGAAACTGTATTTCATGGATGAACTCGCAGAGTTGCTCTGAGGAACGGGGAGTTTTTGCTTGGCTTCAGATTCACTTCCTCTCACCGTGTCTCTCGCACAGTAATAGCGTCCCGTGTCCTCCAGCTTGAGGTTGTTCATTTGCAGAT